TTCATTAGCTCTGGAGCTACTTGTACTTGTCCTCTGCTCTTCCTCAGTAGCATGTTGGACGCCTTCCGACCTGAGGGGCCCATCTTCCAGCGTCATATCTTTTAGCCTTTTGTTTCTGATCATGGGGCATTCTTGGCAAAGATACTGGAGAGCATTGCCATTTCCTACTCCAGGTGGATTGCGTTTAGTCAGAACTCTTCACTATGTCCTGTCCGTCTTGGGTGTCCCTACACGGCATAGCCCATAGCTTCTCTGAGTTACTCAAGCCCCTTCGCCATGACAAGGCAGCAATCCATGAAGGAGACATACATACATGCATACATGCATACATACATGCATACATACATGCATGCATGCATACATACATGCATGCATGCATGCATAAATTGGGTCATGGACAAGGCTAATCAGACCAAGGTGCTTAGTATAACTTATCTGCTTTCCCCGATAGTTGCACAAATACATTATACACTCAACATCAATCCAATCCATTTAATGTATCTATAAAATAGAGATAAATTACGGTAACCTTTGAGATATATGTATCAGCTGATCTTTGAGAGATCTGTATCAGCTTATCTTTGACTGCACACATGATGAACAGAGAAGCCAGAGAGAGCTGTTGCCAATATATTCTCACAAAGTACTGAAGAATTTTTTAAAAGACTAAAAGGCTAGTCCCAGCTAGAGTAGACCCAATGACTAAATGGGATTTATATACATGTTTATTTACCATGCCATTATTGATTCAATGGGTTTACTCTGTGGTTGAAACTAGGAACAGGACACTGGGCATGATGCATAACAATTTGTCAATCAAGTTTCACAGTAGCTCATTGAGATAGGTGTGACACTGACTTGTCTAAGACCTTCCACTGAGCTTTATCTGTGAGGATTTGAATATGGCTCTGCCACATTCAGACTCAATATTTCAGCCACTGCATTGAATTGGATACAAAGAAGCCAGATATACTTCAGTGCTCTGTAACATCTTACACTGTTCTGACATTTTCTCCCCATTCATCTGCCAATGGATTGCAATACCTAATTGGTTTAAATCTGTCTTTGTCCTGAGCCAGAACTGATTTGCCACCCCTTAATCCATTAATAACAAAACCAGCAATTGTAATATGCTCAAATAGTATGAAAGGAACTCCCTAATGTGCTTTTAGGTATCATCTGTGAAACATCCTTGGAGGCAGCTGGCCTTCATTAAAAAGCTCGGAATATTCTTGAGGCCAAATGCCAGCCTTTTTCACTTACACACCCATTTTGCCCCATCACTCTTCTTTCACTGAAGCCTGCAGGGAGGGGATTATTTCACTCTGTCTTGTCTTTACCAAAGGTAAGCCTTCCTTTTCTGTGCTTTGATAGGGTGAAGATAGCCTGGATCTTCATCATCTTGTGGCACTTTGCAGGCATCCTGCTGGTGATTCTCCTACTGGTGATTCTAGTTGCCTTCTACATTATTGGCATCTGCCTCTCAAATCACACCATGACAGAGGCATACCAGCGGCCCATGTGGCAGTTCCTGGACTATTATTTCCAACCATATATCCAACTATATAGTAATGGCATCTTACCAAAGTGATCCCAGGGACTGAAAGAAGCTGCCCACTAGAAAAACCTTGTCAATATAGTCTATCTAAGAGTGTGAATAAAGCTGATATCCTATCATGGTTTTCTGGTGCTTGATGATTGGAGACACTTTCCTTTTTCAAAACATCCCTTAACCATTGTTGGCCATCATTGCTGGCCTGCTCAGTCTGTAATCCACCAAGCTGAATGCCACATGTCGACTATGCAAGATTGGCTAAGGGCCCTTGAAACATCCTGGCTTTGCTACCTGCCCGAACTACAATGTAACAAAAAAAAGAGCTCAGCTGGATGTGACCAAAGGCCTATCTAATATAGCAGTCTCTTTCATCTCTTGACCAACTAGATGCTCCTTGAGTTGCTTACAAGCAGGCCGTAAGGCCTTGACCCTCTCCCACTGCTTGTTCTGCAACAGGTGATATTCAGAGGCATCCAATTAATATCAGAAGTAGCTTGTGAACAGAATATGGGGTTCCTCCAAAACATTCTGAGATAAGCTGCCCCTTCTTTACACTACAGTTGATGTATAGTCCTCATTGTGACTAGTAGTTTATTATCCATAAATCTGCCATATCCCTGCTGGAAATCAGACACTTGGGAGACCATCAGCAAATCTTGTGCCAGTGGATCCCACGGTTTAATGATGTTCTATGTGAAGATATCCTTCCTTTTGTATGTCTTGAATCTCCTACTGTTCAACTTGATTGGGTGATCCCAGAGTTGGGATCACAGAATCCCAAATGAGGGGGAAAAACTTTCTACCTACTTTCTCAAAATGTTTTTTCTTAAGCAAAAAGGCTCTGATTTAAAACTTGGTCAACCACAAGTTGTGCAAGCTTCCTTAAGTGAATATTCTTCATTTTTTTAAAAAAAAAAAAGCAGAAGGAAAGTTCCCTGAGGGCACAGAAGCAGCTAGCAAAGCAGACATCTAATAATTCAGTGGGGAAATAACATGTGTTCATGTTTGGTGGGCACATTACTAGATGAAAGTGACAAGTGAATTGTCAGTCACAAATAACATCTCACTTTACGCATGCCCTGTATTGTTAAGTAAATGCAATCTGCAAAGCTGTCACGCAACGTGAGATAAAACATATATCTTACATCTTTGTCAGTGACTTTTCTTTATGCAAATTTAAATGCACTATATTTGATCTATTTTGCAAGAAAGAGAGAGAGAGAGAGAGAGAGAAAAGAAAACAAACCAAAAGAAAAGAACAGAACAGAAAAGAAAAGAAGTATTCCAGAGCAGAATATAAGAATTGCCACATTGGCTCAAACAAAAGTTCCTTTTTGTTCAAGGTGTTGCCTGTCGCACAAGTGCACAACAAGGTGTCTCTGGAAAAAAGCTTGCAATTAGGCCAAAGAGACAATGTGCAAAAACAAGTATGCCATTTTTCTGCAGAGGTCCCAGGTTTGCTGGGGCATTTTTACCTTAGCTCAGGTTTGGTTGTTATAATACTTTAGTCATACTTATTTGTTTATATTTCATATGCATTTGTTTATTTTATTTCTTTATGTGCTGCTTTTCTTCTAAAACTGGGTCCCAAAGTGACTTACCTAAAAATGGTTAAAAATTTTGTCATTTCATTGTGAAGTAGGACATAGCAGTTGCTAAAGGAAATTAGTTTAGATTATAATTGCATATAAATATAAATAATAATATGCAGCAAGATGAAAATAAGCTCATGCAAATAAATCCATTTTGGTTTTGTTCAGTCAACATCTAACAATAATATACAAACTTTACTTTCTTGGCCTAGAGAGCCTCAGAGTGGAGACATCACTTACACTAGATGGTAACAAGAATAACTATACATATACTATATGTAATATGTGGCATCTCTTAGTAGAATACGTACATGCTTTTCATAAAATATGTAAATTAAACTATCATTATGTTATCCTTGTGCCAATATAACATATCCGTTAGAACTGAAACTTCTAGATATCATATCAAAGTATGTGTTTGCTTTCCTCTGTTCTGGTTGCATTAAAAAGCCTTACATCCTTCATGTGTTTTTTCCAACAGGATGTCCAACAATTCAAAACAAGCAGGTAGACATTCTCCAAGGCTTAGCTCTTTGGCCAGCTCAAACCCAGGAAATCTTTGCAACACAGGTTTGCCAGATTCTGAGCTGAAAGGACATTTCTGAAGCTGTGGCATGGCCTAAGCATTTGAGAAACTGGGATAGTGAGCTGTCAACTAGCTCAGGGGTCCCCAACCTTGGGCCTCCAGATGTTCTTGGACTTCAGCTCCCAGAAATCCCGGCCAGCAGAGGTGGTGGTGAAGGCTTCTGGGAGTTGTAGTCCAAGAACATCTGGAGGCCCAAGGTTGGGGACCACTGAACTAGCTGAGAGAGCCTGGGGCACAGGAATGACCTTTGGAAAAATATTTGTGATAAGGGGCTGTGAGTGAGTGAACTTTGGCCCCCCCAAGGTTGGGGACCACAGAACTAGCTGAGAGTGCCTGGGGCACAGGAATAACCTTTGGAAAAATATTTGTGATAAGGCTGTGAGTGAGTGAACTTTGGCCCATGGGAGTGTTCTACATCGTAATCCCTCTGGGCACTTGCAGGTCTCCATGGTAAATGTTGGGCCATGGATGGCTGTCCCACCCAGGGCAAGATCTTGAAGATGCACCCACTTAGGCAAGAGAGACACAATAAAATCCAAAAGGTGTGAAATGGCATGAAGTGGAGAAAAGCCTGTAGAGAAGTTTTCCCACCAAGAGGAAGATATAAAAAGGGGCAGAAACAGTAACTGGGTGAGGGAGAAGTAGGGGCAGGCAGTGGAGAAGGAGAGTAACCAGCAAGAGATCTGAGCAGACATGGCAAAATAGCAAGAGGATGAACCCCAGGTTCTTGTATTTGCCAGCTTGTTGGCATCTGAGGACAATCCCCCTCTCCGCAGCATCCTGCCATATCCCTTTCTTGACAATATGGCAGAGGAAGACAGGGAGCCATCCAAGTACTCTGAGGGTGTGAGGGTGGACTGAGATATTTGTAGACAGAAACCAAGAAAGAGTCAAGGATCAGAGTCAACACTGCTGGTGCAGACAGGGACAATTTAAGAGGCTGTACAAGACGTACAAAGAGGACAAGTTATAAGCCCTCTTTTCTACCTGTGTTGGACATTAGGGCCAGTGAATCTGACTTCCATAATTTCCCCTTTTAAGAACCTGCTTTTGAGCAATTAGCCTTTTTCCCCTAAATGAACAAGCAAAGTTATGGACAGAGAAAGATTGCAGTAGAGTGGCAAAATCCTTCCCATAATGTGCATATAGTTTTTGTACTAAGGGCGTCTTGGAGACACCAGAGAAGTCTCCATGTTGAAGGCCCCCTCAAATACTGGTACTGGTATAGGATTTGGGAATTTTAAAAAAATAAGGCTTTAAAAAAAGCCATCTTAGAAATCAGGTTCAGAATACAGAGAAAATGCAGGGTATGAAGAAAAGACAGCAGTTCAATTCTTTCTCATCCATTGCTAAAGACAGACCTTCTCCAAAGTGTGCCTTAAAGTTGACCTTTTAATATGTGCAGGTAAAATATTTAGTACTTAGGTTGGTTCACCTTAAGTACTTAAGGTGAGTCATCCTGACAACTAACAGCAAACTCATTATCCAAGTGCCAAACTTAATATAGCTCAAGCAGCACCATTCATGTGTTTGGGGGGACATTAATCAACAGGTTTAAGGGAATGTTTAGATTTGCAGAAGTGCAACCCTCTACAAAACAAAGCAAGACAAAGCAAAGCAAAAATTTCGCAAGGACTAAAGGTGGCCCAATCCCAAAGAATTCTCCAGCTACTGTACAATTGCACTCATTTCATATGCTAGCAGGGTTATGCTCAAATCTTACAAGGTAGGCTTCTACAGTATGTGGACTGAGAACTCCAGGAAGTACATGCTGGAATTTGAAGGGGTAGGAGAACTAGAGACCAAATTGCTAACATATACTGGATAATGGAGAAAGCCAGCGAGTTCCAGGAAAAAAAAAATCCACCTCTGTTTCATTAACTACACAAAAGCCTTTGACTGTGTGGATCACAGCAAACTATGGCAAGGCCTTAAAGAAATTGGAGTGCCTGACCACCTTATCTATCTCCTGAGAAATCTATACAGTGAACCCGAAACCTACTGAATTAATTCGTATTAGAAGTGGAAGATATGCTGGCAGTGACAGGTTTTACTTTCTAGGGTTCCAGATGGTGACAGCAGCCACGAAATTAAAAGATACCTGCTTCTTGGGAGGAAAGCAATGTCAAACCTAGACAACATCTTAAAAAGCAGAGACATCACCTTGCCGACAAAAGTCCGCATAGTCAAAGCTATGTTTTTTCCAGTAGTGATGTATGGAAGTGAGAGCTGGACCATAAAGAAGGCTGACTGCCGAAGAATTGATGCTTTTGAATTGTGGTGTTGGAGGAGACTCTTGAGAGTCCCCTGGACTGCAAGGAGAACAAACCTATCCATTTTGAAGGAAATCAACCCTGAGTGCTCACTGGAAGGACAGATCCTAAAGCTGAGGCTCCAATACTTTGGCCATCTCATGAGAAGAGAAGACTCCCTGGAAAAGATCCTGATGTTGGGAAAGTGTGAAGGCACGAGGAGAAGGGGACGGCAGAGGATCAGATGGATGGACAATGTCATTGAATCTCCCATCATGAATTTGACCAAACTCCGGGAAGCAGTGGAAGACAGGTGGGCCTGACATGCTCTGGTCCATGGGGTCACGAAGAGTTGGACACGACTAAACGACTAAGCAACAAAAAGGGTGGCACACTGGGACAAAGCATTATTAGTGGCCAAAGAATGCTGAGTGTCTACAGAGAGGGAAAATAAAATAAAATGGTGTAGATGAGGGATAAAACGGAGACTTGTGAAAGAGATTATTCTTGTCTATCTAGAAGTCTATACAGGGTAGCATTTTGTTGCTAGCCACATTTCTTAAGAAACTAAGCATCTACCTCTCCTCCTTTTGCTAAGTTCTTCATGCAGCAGGTACAGATAACACCACACTTATCAGTA